TTTCTTAGTCAGAAAGCCCTGAGATAACTAATTCTTGCTTTCTTGCATGAGATCACCTTTATTCCCAAGATGCCTATGAGAGAGTTAGCTTTGAAGGACAGAGAAAGACAATGTTGTACGTTATTGTTGGTTTAGGCCTTGCTCTGTAACTCCAATGTGGAATTCCAGTGGTGGATGATCTGTCCTCGGGATCACTTTCCTCTAGAAGATAGGATTAAAAGTAAGCTATTTATTATCTCTATAAAAGTATTCATTTGACTGCTTTTCACCTGCAGAAATGGCAAGTACATAAGGCTCAGTGTAATCAAAGGCCATCCCTGTGGTATAAATTGAATTCTTAGCTCCCATCCATTTCTTCAGTCAGTGGCCATCTAACAACCAAATGTGGTATATTACTGAGCACTAATTGATCACTTAGCTGTTTAAAATAAGTAGCTCTGAGAATTGTTGAATAACAAAAATAAATTATTAACTATATGTGCATATCTATACACATGAATGAATGAATGGATGGATGAATGAGTAAATATGAATGAGGAGATAGCCCAATCAGTAATGTGTTTGCTGTGTAGCATGAAAACTTGAGATCAATTTCCAGGACCACATTAAGAAAAGTTGAGTGTGTGTGTGTGTGTGGTAGCACAAGCTTTTAATCCTGATAGTGTGGAGGTGGAGACAGGTGGATCCCTGGAGCTTACTAGCCAGCAGCTTAGCCGAATTGGAGATCCAAGGCCAATGCCCTTTGCCCTCTGTCTTCCATATGTACACACACACTACACAACATGCATGTATACCCACATAAATATGTGTATACACAGTATGCATGTGTAATATGTATACATACACACATATAAACACAAGCATGTATATTAATGTAGTGGTTTGAATGAGAATGTCCCCTGTAGGCTCCAAGTATTGGGAAATTTTGTCCCCAGTTGGTGGCACTGTTTTGGGAGGTCTTAGAAGATGTGGCCATACTGGAGGAAGCACGTCATTGGGAGCAGGCTTAGAGAATTCTTATGCTTTTTGGAATTTCCAGTCACACTCTGCTTCCTATGCCTGCTTGAAGATGTAAGCGCTTAGCTTCTGCTCCTACTCAAGCCACCTCTACCCCACCATGATGAGGTCTAATTCCCTGGAACTATAAGCTAAATAAATTCTTCCTTTTATAAGTTCCCTTGGTCATGGTGTTTCTGTTACAGCAATGGAAATGTAATACAATTAAACTGCAGAGTTTGAGATGTGCCAATTTCATGGATAATGATGGCAGACACAAGACATGTGGGTTGGGCTCAAGGAAGTTCATTACAGCAGTCTCCGTAGCCAGAGTAATGTCACTTCCAGCCTTTCTCTGAGCCCCAGTTCCCATATCAGCAAGGCCAAAATATTGAACCAAAGTCTTGCTTTTCTGCCATGATTAAATATATTCATATTGTATATGTAACTTGCTGAAGGACTTACAGTGCCCACTATGTTAAACAAAAGGGTAGTTATGTAGATACTGAAAAAGACAGGCTCACTATGACTCATGTGAACTTGGGAAACATTTTCAGTAAGTCTCTTTCTGTAATTAAGCATAGGTTATATAACTTCTATCTGAAGTCCTTAGGCCTAGCTTTGTTTTGGAGATTTTGGAGTTTTTTAGATTTTGTAATCTTTGAATAGACTTGATTGAACTCCAGAATGCTCCAAAATCCAAAATGCATCATGTCAGTCTAAAATGTTTCAGATTACTGAACATTTGGGATTTGTTAATTAGAGATGCATATCCTCTAAGCACTGTATGTATTATCATCATAGCATGCCACTTAAAATCCTGTGTGCTGTGGATAGGTCCATAGTTATTATGGAGAACCTTTGAAGATTATCTACAAGGATCTTTTCTTATATGTTGAGTTCAGTAGGAAATTATTTTTATCTTGAACTTGATTGTGTGAAAAAAATGAATGCCAAGAATTGTCCTTTTTTTTTTCTTTACAAGTTTCTTAGCATCTTTTTATAACAATCATAGTAAATCTACAGAATTTTGAGAGTACATAGAAAAATTAATGTTTGGACCATATGTTCAGGATTAGGCAGAGAGAGAATCCATAATCCAATCAGAACATATGATGGCTCTTGAGTGGCTAAATGCATATCCTCTAAGCACTGGGTGTTGTGTGGTGCTATGAATACTAGCTCCCGGCTGCTTGTACACCAAACCCCTACTTCTCTTCTGCTCTTCTGCTATCTGTGTTACTCAGCTTTCTGTTACTCTAACCAATACCTGAGATTACTTTAAAGGAGAAAAAGTTTATTTTAGCTCACAGTTTTGTAGGCTTCTATCATGGTCAGTAGACCCAAACCAAGACACCATATCATGGCAGGAAGTAGGTGGTACAGCAAGCTGCTCACCTCATGGCAGCCAGGAAACAGGAAGAATTAGAGGAAGAATTGGTGTTCTGTCCCCAAGGGCACATTGTCAGTGACCTAAAACTTCCCAGTAGGCCCTACTCTTAATGATTTCCACCACCTTCCAGTAGTGCCAAGCTGAGGACGATGCCTTTAACAGGCCTCCAAGGAGATTTAAGATCCAGACTACTGCACTGCCCTATTCTGCACTTGATTTTCCAACTTCCAGATCACCTTCCTTTCTGTGTTTCAGCCTTAACTTTCATTTCCTGTACTGTATACAGGCCTTTTATGACGTTTCCAGAAGAGTAAAGCTACCTACTCAATATCATTTAAATGGCTTGATGATGTACATCTCAGAAATAGTGTAGATAAAAAATGAGAACGGATCAGGTCTTCAGTGGGCTTATCTTGTATTAAGGGAGTCAACATGAAATACTGGAAAATATCACTAGTCAGTTTAGAGTGATTGTTGTGAGTTGAACGGTGTGTAAATTTGGGGGAGAAAAATCATTCTTGCTGAATAGAAATCTACAAATATAAAATCTCTATATTTGAAAACTTATGAAAGGACTTAAATTTCTTGAACAATAAAATAGCAGTGTTCTAAAAATTGTTTTTAACATTTTACTACATTTTAATTTACTCTGTGTGTGTGGGCAAATGCCACAGCACACTTGTGTGGAGGTCAGAGGACACCTTGGGGGAAGTTAGTTCTCTCCTTCCACCATGTGAGTCTTAGGGATTGAATTTAGATCATCAGACTTGGCTTTTACCCACTGGGATATCTCATAGGCCCCAATTTGGTTAAGTTTGTTTGTTTGTTTGTTTGTTTGTTTGTTTGTTTGTTTGTTGAGAGAAGGCCTTGCTTTGTGTACCACAAGAGGACTGCAAACTATGAGCTTAGCCTCCAGAGTTGCTGTGGTTGCAGATATATACCACTATTCAAGAAAGAGAAGCTATACTTAGAAATAAAAGCACTTAGAAAGCTTAAATGCTAGACTACTGGGCTAGGCATGTGACTCAGTGGCAGAGTGCTTGCCAAGCACCTTTGAGGTCCCACATTTGATCCCCAGCACTACAGAAAGCCAAAGTAAAACAAATGATAGACCGTTTATTGTTGTCATCAGAAAGCTAACATGGAATGAATAGGCCAGTTTCTCTATTACTTTATATGAACAAAATTTAAAGTGTAAGCAGCTGTTTGTTATATTTTACAAATAAATTCACAGATGTTTACAGTGGTTATTTTAAATTCCAATATTTGTAAGTTGATAATTTTGTGAATACTGTGTTCTCATGATGCATAGCTTTATTATTTCCTATATATCCTATTTAGCACTTTGATTTTTGTTGAATGTAAATTGTTAATAGCGTTACTAATTTATTGACATTAAAAGGTATTAGTAGCAAGCCTAATATGTTTGCAATACTTAGACATTGAAGTCTAAAATTCAGTGGAAGGGTAAAGAGATGATTAGCCAAGAAAATATTGAGGGATTATAATTGGATATTACTTGATCTCATAGTAAGTATGTTAGTTATTTTTTAAAGTTCCTTGACAAAATACCAGATAGAATTTAAAGGAAGAAAGATTTGATGGAAAGGCATGGCAGTAGGCACATGTAGCAGCTGATCACACTGCCGAGGTCAGGAAGCAGAGAGATGCACCCTGCTGCTCCACTCACTTTCCTTTTTATTTAATTCCAGACCCCAGCCCATGTGATGGTGCTTCCAGTATTCAGGGTAGATGTTCCCTCCTCAGTTATGTATCACTAGAAACTCCCACAGTATGTCTCCTAAGTGATTCCAAGTCCTCTTCAGTTTACAGTGGAGACTAATCATCACAACAGGGAAGATCTTTTTAGTCAGTTAACGAAGAAACCATCTTAAAGTAAAGTTTATAGTGGAGGAAATTCAAGGCAAAAAAAAAAAAAATGTTCAAGATTGGCCACTCAGAAAGTTCAGACAGGAGGATCACAAGTTCCAGACCAATTTGTGTTACATAGTGAAAACCTTTAAGAAAATGTTTAAGGAGTTAAGGTTGAAAATTAAGGCACAAGATGTAGAGATATCCTATAGTTGAAACATCTAAGAATACTAACTGAAAGAGTCCTAAAGCTAATTATAAATTTAGCAAGGCATCCACTTATAAAGTGTTTAGGGGGGAAAGTAGCAACAAGGCTCACATAGTGTTTTGAAAAGGAATATATTCACAAACATGGGGCGCACACCTGCAATCACAGCTCGCAAGAGGCTAAGACAGGAAGACCCCCAAGATCTAGGCCCACCTAGGATGCAAAGTGAGATGCTATCTCAAAAAATATATTTTTATATGACTGAGACTTTTCATATTAAAATATTTTAATTAACACCTACAAAGTACAATAAAATTTTAATACTGCTTTGAAGGCATTTATTTTACATTTTTATGTCATTTCTCAATAACATCTATGTTTGTGATACTTCCAGTATTTGTTAATATTGTAGTTTGTATAATAACGTAAGGAAAATACAATAAATGTTACAAATGTTTGCTTATTTTCTGAAAGAAGTAGTGATCGTGCTCACTAACTTATCTTTTCATTTCTTTCTTCCATGTGCAATAGGTCAGTACACCTGTCTTTGTGCCAACAAAAACACATGTGCTACTTCATCGAATGAGTGGAAAAGGACTGGCTGCCCAGTATTTCTTTCCAAGACAACCTTGCATTTTTGGTGATAAGATGGTCTCTGTACAAATAACACTGAGTAACACTTCTGATCGGAAGATAGAAAATATCCATATAGGGGAAAAAAAACTCCCTGTAGGCATGCAAATGCATGTTTTTAACCCAATAGGTAAATATTAATTCTCATTTAAAACTTGGTAACCAAATGTTTTCATTTCTAAAGCAGATAGTTTCATAAAAAGGCAAAATACAGCATTATTGTATTGACTATTAGCACACACATAAGTGTATATGTGTGTGTGTGTGCGTGCGTGTGTGTGTGTGTGTGTGTGTGTGTGTGTGTGTGTGTACTTGTGTCTTCCCCAGGATCCTAGGCAAATCTCTATAATTGGGCTACACTCTCAGCCATTTTCCCTTTTTCAGCTACATTTACCATATAAGAGAAATGTTTATCGTCACCCTTAGTGAACCAGATCCCAGCAGTAGTGATCCCAGTAGTGATGAGAGGGAATCAAAATTGCCATTGGGTTTTACCTATCTGTATCACCTTCTCTCACCTCTCCTCCTGGTCAGCCTTCTTCTTTGTATTAAAAGCAAGAAAACTAGTCTGCCTCTTTGACTGTAATACCTCTCATAGCTCAAGCCCCTTTCCTGATTCCTTTCACATTCCCTAAGTTGAAGAGTGAAGGGAGCCAAGGCTGGGAGGATGTTCACTGCTCTGCTTGCCTTCCTCTTCATGTGTGGAATATAGACTACTCCATGGTATGTGACTGCATTTATCCACGTGTTAAAATTTTTTTAAAATGTAGCCAGGTGTGGTGGTGCACACCTTTAGTCCCAGAACCTGGGAGGCAGAGGCAGGTGGATCTCTGAGATAAGGTCAGCCTGGCTTGCATAGCAAGCTCCAGGCCAGCTGGGGCTACATGAAGACCCTGTCTCAAAAAGACCAAAAAAAAATTTTTAATGTGTTTATTTACATGTATGAATGTATTGTCTGCATGTATGTAAGTGTACATGTGCATGTTGTGCCCACAAAGGCCAAAAAGGCATAGGATCCCATGGAACTGGAGTTATGGATGGTTGTTAGCTCCCATAAGGGTGCTAGGAACTGAATCTCTGGAAGAACAGCCAGCCAGTGCTCTTAACTGCTGAGCCATCTCTCCAGCCCCAGTTTTCAAATATTTTTAATCTGTTACCATCACTTAAGAACCAATCTGTTTTCACACTCAAGATACAAAAAAGAAGACATCACTTTTCCTGGAAGAAAGTATAAGGTACAGCAGTGCTGACCCATTATACCACATGCTCCTGAGCTATGGCTGCCCTCCACCCAGTATGTATTTCCCACATGCCCAGCAGAGTGTGCAGGGCCATCTGCTGTGCCCCTTGCCATTTTTAAGTATTTTTCCCTTATCATACCATCTAAAAATTAAATGTAACAATTATGTAATTAATTTGAAGTGGTAGGATGTCTGTCTCTGTTCTGTTTTTTAATATGTGGAGATAATCCTAAGGTGTAATTGGGAGAAGCTTCTGGAAAAATCTTGATGAAAAGCGATGGAAGTTTGTGATCTGAGACTATAGCTCAGTTGATAGAGTGCCTGCCTAACATGCATGAGGCTCTGGGTCGATTTCTAGCCCAGCCTAAACCAGGAGTGGTATCCCAGCACTCAGGAGGTAGAGGCAAGAGGATCAGAAGTTCAAGGGCATCTTCAGCTACAGGAGGCAAATCTAAAAAAAAAAAAAAAGTGATTATCAGTTTGTGTCATTATAGCCTTGAGATATTACTATCAGCTTCTTTTTATAACACTTCAGGTAAGCAAAGTCTTTTGACTGGGAAAATTTTTTCTTCCTACTCTATCTCATGTAACTGTTCTAGTTTTCTCCATCTGTGCTCTGGCATTATGGCAATCTTTCCATGAAATGTGTAGTAAACAACATCATGTTTCATTTGTGTTATATTTTTCACAGAGGAGTAAAATGATTTCTAAAAAAAAAAGCCTAGTACATTTTTGTAAGCAACCAAAGTGAAGTGGAGTTAAAGAAAGTGATTTCAGGATACACAATGCCATTACTTTGTATTTCAATCATTAAGGCATAATTTAAATACTGCACAGTATCCTAATTTTTATTGGATTTTGTGAAGTTAATATAATGCTAAGGAATTAACAGAATATAACAATTTGCAGTCTTTTTTTACTGCTTATAATCTAGCCTTTTTTTTTTTACCTAGTTTAAAAATTAGTTTAGTTTAAGAAGTGTCAAGTAGCTGATATATGGATTGTCTGAAGGTTGAAAATGTTATCCAAAGGTTAAAACAGTAGAACAGTATTAATGTTTCCTTGGGCTGGCATAATGAGCTGATGAGTTGACCTTTTATTGGCCTATGTAGAATAGAAGAAATAAATATAATAAATTTCATAGTATGACCTTAGCACAGAATTAAAATATGAATGCATACCATTGCCTCAATACTGGTTATAGGCTTTTCATTCTTAGGCAAATTTTTGTGACCACAATACTTCATTCTTTTTGTTGACTTTATTGAGCATGGTTAAGGTAGAGTTCTTTTCCATGCAGTATATTTGTGTGTAACACAACCTAGACTCTCAACAATAGAATATAGCCAGTTACTATGTGTGATATGTTAAATTAGTCCTCCAAATACATTTTAAAGAGTACAACAAAAAACAAATATTTTATATTTTGTTTTTGTGAAATAAGGGAGTCGATGTTTTATTCATTAAATGTGTGCACACGTTAAAGGATCTATAATGTTTTCTTATTTGTCATAAATCTGTTTTCTTTTGCCTTTAATATCCTATGAATTTTGTCTGAATGTTGCCTTTCTTTTAGCATGAAACTGGATTCCTTGCAAGAATATTAGACTTACTTGCCATGTTTTCCAAAGAGACTAAGAACATAGGAAATTTAAGGTGAGGGGAGACATAAGGAATTAGCTTTAAGCTATTTCCAGTGCATAGCAGCAAGTCCAGAAGCAATGTCCAAATATAGTCACTTAATTGGGTAAGCTTTACCAATTTGGTAAGCTCCAAATATTATAAAAATCCATTATATGAATAATTTTATGCTGATCATTTTGTTCTTGAAGCGTTCATATAATAAAACATGCCATTGATCATGAACTGTCCTCCAAAATTAGCATGGCACTAAGCTCACAGTTCATTATCCTAAGACTGAAGAGAGTATCAAGCAGTGTCAAAGAGTGCTATCAACAGGACATCTTGAGAACTGTCACTTCCTCAAATGAAATACAGAGTACATGATGTACAGAGATCTAAACTGTGAATGCTATCATGTCTGAGAGATGACAGAATTTGTTACCTAGTGTGGTGTCAGATACAAACAAGGCCAAGCCCCAGTATAGTTATAGCACAGATGATGTTAGGGATTCACTAAAGGAAAGAGCCTTAGGGCCGGGATATAGCTCAGAAATAGAGTGCCTGCTTACCTAGGTTCCACCTTCAGCATGGGAAAGAAAAGAGAGAAGCCATGAACACTAAGACTGACAACTATGAACTGATGCCAGTGTGTAACTGTAGAAAAGATGAAAATATTTGTGGGCATGCATATAAAAATATGTGTGTGTGTACAGAAAACCCAGTTGCCAAAGTTTTAAGCAGCAAGGCTTAAAGTACTTGAATAGCTAGCCCAGTAAAATGTTTAAAGTTAAATAAACAAATGAAATTCAAACTAGAATCAGCAAAGCAACACAGATATCACTGAGCAAACGAATAGCGTTTTGAAATGAGTTTCAAGCATGGGCCATCTTATAATGCCTAATCTAAAGTAAACCTGTGAGATACAAACACAATTTTATATAGCAGCTCTTTGGATTATTCTTTTGTCCTGTCTAGTCCATCATCTCTGTCTGTGGTGAGTTCTAAGTGACCAATCATACTTACCAACAAAACCGTAGGTTAGTAACTGTCTACTGAAATAGTGTGCTTGCTAAAATATAATGACATCCTACAAGATGTATACAGGATAGATAAAGCTAAATAAAAAATCTACTATATGATACGGCTGCAGTTATACTGAAAACTTTGAGTAAAGTGAAATCAAAAGTGGATGGTTTCTAACTTTAGAATCATAAGCAGACTGAAAATTTGTAATTGTCTTAAATCTTCTTTTTCTGCTGGGGGAGAATAAAGGTCTTCTTTTTCAACTGGAAAATAAAAAAGAAAACTACAGTATTGTATACTCAGATACTTATTTCCCATACTTGGTTAGATGACAGTTGAAGCTTCAGAATTTTCAAATATATAAACGCCATTTAATCTTTTATAAGTTCAAAAGTCCAATACCTGGAAGGCTGAAACAGGAGAATTGCCTTGAGCTCTAGACCAACTGGCATTACATTGACATTTCAAGACCAGTCAGGACTTCCCAGCAAGATCCTGTCTCAAAAACAAAAACAAAAGGTCCATTGCCTATGGAGAGAGTATGGTAAGCCATAAAATTTCTCAGGAAAGGATTTGCCTCACTTCTTAAAAGAAGAAACCTAAATGGCCAGTAAACAACTTGAAAAAGTATTCACCATCTTTAGCCCATCAGAAAAATGCAGATTAAAACTTCTTGGATATTCCATCTCACCCTGTCAGAATGGCTATCATCAGAAAGACAAATGGCAGCAAATATGATAAGGATGGGGGAAGGAGGAACCCTTTATACACAGCTGGTGGAAATGTAAACTGGGGCAGCCACTGTGAAAGTTAGTGTGGAGATTCCTCAAAAAGCTGAACAGAACTACTGATTACCCACTATACTACTCTGAGTTATAGACCTAAAGGACTCTTAAGTCAACATACATACAACAGAGATACTTGGGTATACATATATATTGCTACACTATTCACAGTAGCTGAGAAATGTAACCAGCCTAGCTGTCTATCATGGCTGGATGGATAAAGAGAAAGTGGTACATATATATACACAAGGGAACTTTCCTCAGCTGTAAAGAGAAATGAAATGACAATTACAGGAAAATGGATGAAACTAAACTAGAAATCATTATGTGAAACAAAACAAGCCAGACTCTGACAAATAAAACTACTTCTATTTTCTCTCCTGCAGATTCTGTGTGTGTGTGTGTGTGTGTGTGTGTGTGTGTGTGTGTGTGTGATGAAAGTAGAAAGGCCATAGGAGGGCAAGAAGAAATCTTTAGAGGGAGGGATAAGGGAGGATAATGGAATCCATGTGACATGAAAACAGAAAGGAGGAGTATTTGAGAATTTGAAAGAGTCCACAAAAGAGGGGCAGTTGGAAGGGGAAAGGCAGTGAGAGGGGATGAATAAAAACTAGTATAATTCTGAGTGCTGTAAGGAAACCCACCACTTTTTAAGCTAACTTTAAAAATGAATTTAGGGGCTGGAGCGATGATTCAGCAGTTAAGAGCAGAGGATCCAGATTTAGCTCCCAGCATCCACATGGTAGCTAACAACCATCCGTAACTTCAGTTCCAGGGAATATGACTCCCTCTTCTGGTTTCCACGGTATTGCACACACATGATGCACTTACATACATGGAGGCAAAATACTCATGCACATAAAATAAAAATCAATTAAAAATTTTAATGATTTTATTTCAAATAAGGGTGAAAAAGGAGAGCTGTCTCAAACCAGTAGATATGTTTGTTTTAATATGTGAAGAATTAACTTGTGAAAAGTACAACTTCAAGCAGAATAATGAGATTATAATTTCCTTTAATATTCTTAGTTTAAAATGTTTCTCATAAAGCAGTAATTTATCTGTTTTAATCAAAGGCTACATGAGTATTCAGTATTTCATTTGCCTCTTTTTCACACCCTGTGTGTTTTCATGTCTACATTATCTTATTTCCTAGACTCTCTTGAGCCTGAGGGATCCATTACAGTTTCAATGGGTATTGACTTCTGTGATTCTACACAGACTGCCAATTTCCAGTTGTGGTAAGTCCAATTGTTCTTCAGTTTCTTATATTACCTGTAAAGGATAGCAAATCAAAAGCTAGACTTGCAACAGCATTTTCTGTGAGAGATGAAACATTTAAACAAATGTGTTTTTCCTTGACAATGTGTTACTGCCGTGGAATAGTTTATAAATTATGTACAGTATGGGTATTTTCATTATTTCTTAGACACCTAGCCATGAATGTGCCATGTATAATTGAAATCCATAGTTTGTTGGTAAGAGAAAGAAAACTGTTACTAAATGTTTTTTTTTTACTTATTTAATACAATAGTTTAAGAAAAGTTAGAAGAAATTAAAAGTTAATCATATTATTGCATAGCCCAGAGAAGGTACCTTTGGAGGCAGGTATCATTTTGAGATGTAGTGAGTTTCTTAGGTAGAATGTTACTGATTCTAAACACACATATTTTTCCCTTTTACTTAGTTTATAAACTACTCAAGAGGATATTTATAGTTAACTAAGATGTCATAACAAAATACTATTGTATAATTTATTTTACTTTTAGATTTTCTTTTCACATAATGTTTTATGAACTTCTGATGACATCCAGAGGCCATTGGCAAGTTAGCATGAAGCTAATACATCTTTGAAAATTACCCTTCAATTCCTTTGTTTCATATTTTTCTGATACAGTATATAACTTGGCTTTTGTGTGGAAGTTACCTTTTTTCTTAAAAAAATTAAAATATTTTATGTATCTGAATTTTAATAAATTCTGCTCAGCTTGGTGTAGAATTTATTATGACTTAAAAATTTTAAGCTAGAACAAAAACATTTTAAAATAAATGTATAGGTTAAACATAGCAAGTCCTTCATTGTCAGCCTGCCAGTATTCAGGCCCATGTTGCACCTTTTATTGCCAGGAGCCCACAGTGATGAACAGAGCAATGCCGCATAGCTCATCGATTTATGCAGATCATCACCTTTATGTTTTGGGAGGTCTGCCATATTAGTGATATATAAAAACTGATTACTTTTCCCAACATTGCCTAGTAATTGTTTATTATTTTTCTATTAGACAAACAACACAGATCAATATTACTGAATACAGGCTATGAGTAACATCATTCTAAATAGATTTGCCTCCAGCACCAGAGGTATATTCATTTTAATGATTTCGACAATGTGAGCCCAATGACAAAGCTTGTACCGAGTTAGACCAAAATTGAAGCCTAAAACATTCCTTTATCTTACCTGTTTATAATCAGGTGTATTCTTAACCAGATTTTAAAAAATTAATTACAAAGGCTCTTTTTATAGGGTTTTGCACCAAGTTTGCATTTGTTTTCTACGACTGGCCAAGACTCTTTGGAGATGAATATACAATGTAGTGTTTGATTTTTTTTTTAATCTTACATTGGATAGAAAACTGTGAACAGTTTTCTTATTGTCTCTTAAAAATTAATTTCAGGAAACTGACAGATTTATCTCATAGAAAATAGCCTTCTATTATAAACAATTACATTAATGTATTTTTCTTCTGTGAAAGTACACATTACTTAGTTACTTTAGATTTCATTAAGCACAAAAGCATGCAAGATCAAAAATTATTTTTTGTGTGTTCCAAAAAGAGCACTTTGTCTTGCATCAAATGTAATTGATCCTGAAGCAGTGTAATCACAATTACTCACTTTCTTAATTGGCCTGCCCAAAATCAGAAAATGGAAACCGATCGGCAGCGTTTAAATCAATAGCTTCATAGTAGTGCTGGTGGGGGTAGGGAGATAGTGGTAATGGGTAGATCAATTGGTCTTAGGTGCCAATCACTGACTGTGCCTTTTGCATAGTAAGTAGTACCTTTTCCTTAGTGATGTGCTGTAGTAGTCTAAGTAGTTCAATAAAAAGAAGAAGTAAGAATGGCTGAGATTGAATTTTTTTGCCTGAAATATATGAGTTGATACATAAAATTATGGATAGTAAGAGCATATTTGGTTAGAAGTCTTGGGAATCGCTGAGAATGTGGGCTGTAAGCCTTTCAGCCACTCTTCTATGTACAGAAAGAATGAGAAGGAGAAGAAAGTGATCCTGCTTTACTCTAGATTAACTATCATTGAGATTAGGTAGGTATGTGGGTAGACAGCTGGGTCAAGAGAATGACTATGTGCAGCTATGTGATCCCCTGTATTTTTGTAATGCCTCTCTTTCACTTTGAATTTTAAATAGTTACCAAATTAAATCCTTGATTAAAATTATGCAATTAAAAACATATGTAATATCCACAGATAGAGCTCTCCAAAGATTAATGCTGCCTGCATAAACAAATCCCTGTCCTTGTGATGAGCAGATATGAAAGTGTCAGAGGTAGTATGCTTTGGCTGAAGTTAGCTGAAAGCTGAGCACTTGCATCCACCTTTATGTCCAAATGCATTCAAAAGGCAGAAAGTGAATCAGCACAGAGAGAGAGGAGAGAGAGGAGAGAGAGAGAGAGAGAGAGAGAGAGAGAGAGAGAGAGAGAGAGAATAAATGAGAAAATGCCATTAGCTGACCAGAAATTGAAAATTGTTGTCAGTTAGAAAAAAACCAGGAGCAGGTAAGCACTCAGAAAGTGAAAATCACAGGGCCTTAAACATTCATGTGAGAGAACTGCTATCGAGGTAAAACAATTCAAGAGTGTTGAGCACAGAGCAGGTATGTGAAAGGGAAAGTTCAGGGTCTTAAGGTGGTCATGACGGAATTAAAGACCTACTATTTCCAGCCTCCAGTTCCAGCTTTGCATCTAGCCACAGAGAGCACTGAGGCCTAAGAACAGCATTGAGAGGCCAATGAGGGTTGCCTGGAAGGGCTTGATATGGATGTGAGCCCCACAGCAGCACATTAGGGTTTAGGTTTGTGCCCAAGAGGCAGAAATAGTCAGGGATGAAATGAAATGCAGTTCTCTCCTAGAAGACAGTTCTCCCAAATTACCATCCACTGAGGTAAAGCCAACCTCCTGTGTGTTGGCAGGATGGAGCTTCCATTGCCTTCCTGCCTTCTAAGATTATACCCATGTAACCAGTTTCTATCTCTTTTTTATCTTATTTTCTAAGATCTCATAGCTAATAAGTAGTAGAACTTGGTTTGCATATTAATCAAAGCCTACTCCTTCATTATAAATGTAACTGGACAGTTACTAGGTCAGTGCTCTGGAAGACAGGCTCAAGGAAATAACCTGAGGTAGAGACCAAAGCTAAAAATGGGTGGAAAATAGGAAATCAAAGTTAAAGGAATCAATTCATCTCATAGATGTAAGAAATAATTAAGAGAAAGAAGAGTATTTCCCCAAAGAAACACACAAGCCCTCAGATTGAAAGGTCCCATCGAAAGCTAAACAGGGGCCTGGAGAAATGTTAGCTTTTGATGGGACCCTTCCATCTGCTTTCTTCATAATCATAATCACTGGGTCTCCAGTTCCAGGAGATCCCATACCCTCTTCTGATCTGTGCGGACATTGCATGACATGGGTGCGCTTACATACACTCAGTCAAAACACTCAAACACATAAAATTAAAAAAAAAAAAAAAAAAAAAAAAGATCTTACTATGTAACATTAAAGTTCATTGGACTCAAAAAGACTATATTCTGCTGAAAAAAATTTTTAGAACATTATTCATATACCTTCTAGAATACAGAGAAAAAAGCAGTTTACTTAAAAAGAACAGTGAGGAGTGAGATGTTTGTGTACACTCTGAGGACATGGCCCTTAAAATGTTAAGGATATCAAATACATATTTTTTTTCAAGGAAGCAGAGATTTTTATCAGATTACCACTTATAAAACCTTTGTGAAAGATTTACTCAAAGAAATATATTATAGTAGAATTTTCTTTTAAATCTCATATGAAGGAAGGCAGAAAATAAGAAAAAAAAAGCAGTGGGTAAAGATTTCTAACTGTATAGTCTGTTGCTGTGTAACAATAATTATTGACATAATATCAAAAATAAATATAATCATAAACCCAAACCAAAATCTCAACATGGAGCAGTCTGAGAAGTAATGATGGTGCACTCCAGTTCTTGTCGTGTTTCCAAAATGGATTGATGGGTGATAAGGAAATTTAAATATCACTAATGTAATTGTCGTGTGATGTATGGTAGCTTCCAAACACAAGAAGAAGAGGAAGAAGGGTAATTGAACTTGCATCATTTTTCTTCAATAATTATATATGTCTGTATGCAAATATGTGCACATGAGTGAAGGTGCCTTCAGAGGCCAGAGGTGTCTGATCCCCTGGAGCTGGAATCACAGGTGTTTGTGAGCTGCCTGATGGTGGTGCTCGGAATCGAACACAGGTCCTCTGGAAGAGCAGTATGAGCTCTTAACTGCTGAGCCATTGTCTCTGCAGCACCATTTGAAGCATATGTGTGTTTATCAGATGGATGTACCAGAAAAAGGAATAAACATAAAACATTAACTGTTCATTGTACTCTTCCAAGAAAATATGTTATAAACTTTAACTCACATAGATTTAAATTTGTTAATTTATTTTTATTTTATGTGTATGAATATATCACCTCCTTGTATATAAGTGCTCCCATGTCATGCAGTGCCCACAGAGTCAGAAAGAGGGCATTGGAGCCCTAGAACTGGAGTTATGCACAGTTTTTAACTGCTATGTGGGTGCTTGGAACTGAACCCCAGTCCTCTGTAAGAGCAGCCAGTGCTCTTAACTGCTGAGCCATCTCTCTAGCCCCAGGTTTAAATTTATAAAGAAGAAACTGTTATAAATAATAGAAAACATGGAAGCATCTTCAACAGACAACAGAATACATAAGGAACTCTCATAGTCCATAAGCAGGAACCCAGTAGAAAAGTGGAAAGGCTAGTCATAGGAAGCTTATAAGAAAATAAATTTAAATGACCATAAGCCTAAAAGGTTGTCTAACATGAGTAGTATTTAGAGAAATAAAAATGGAGACATTTCATCTATCACATTGATTGACAAAAATTTCAAAATATTTTTAATATCTGGCATTGATAAGCTGAGGAATAGCCTATATT